ACTCCTCAGCACATCCAACACCAGGCTTCAAAGAAACCTCACCCTTTTCCGTAGTAGCAGCATTAAGAGGATTAGAAAGAAGATTAGGGGATGGAGATAGAACAGTTTATGTCGGAAACTTAACACGGACGTTTCAACGGAAACTTGCCAACTAAAGCAAACTCGAAAGGTTTAGCAAGATGGAAAAACTCATCCTCTAAAAACCATAACGCCGGCATGCCACGAATGGTAGACACACGACAATCCGGGAAGACAGCCGAAACCGAACCAGAGAGCACATCCTTGAAGGATTTAGAGTTCGTACCTTCAATAAAACCAGGATCCAAACATTTATTTTCCATGGAAACGCAATCTCACCGGCGAGAAAGCAGACGACGGCTAGGGTACACGAAGGGGAAAAACCCTATCAGACAGGACATCACAAAAAAGAGTGATGATTTTGGCTGGTATTAGATGATATATCAAATATGATTTCAGTTATATCTATCAATTAGTTCAATATACTATCATGCAAATGTAATCATGAATATAATTATAAAAAGCAACACAAGATAATCTAGCTTTATTGTGATATTTTCTTCCATATACATCTATAATTTGTCATTGTTATTGATCATTTGTCAGTCTCATATTATATTTCATTTATTTATATTAATTATTTATTTTACAGATAACTTTTAATAATCATTTAAGAGTCATCACCTTCTATTCGTCGGCGTAATTCAATTAGTCAGTTATATGCTACAACTAGGATTATACCACCAACCTTTTATTTTAAGGAAAGTCTGTCAGCCTACTCTCATGCGCAGTATATTATATTTTAAGAGTCAACTCGTATTCATTATAGTGTTAATAGCTAGACTTCCCATGCTTACATGCAAATGATTTCTTTTCTATATGCAATATAAGTAAAAATCATGTATGAAATGCAGAAATTTATAAATACATGAAAATATCAAATTTGTATACTATGTATTTATTTCAAAAAATCATATCTTCTAATTTACCCGATGAAAATGTAATATATTCTTGTCAAAATACTTATATCGATGAAATCCTATGCATAGTAAAAGCTATGCAGAGAAAATTTTACCACTATAAATTATTCTCATTTTTCGGTAGCAAAAATACAAATTTGATTTAAAAATAATAAAAATACTAAATTATTGAAATAAGAAATAAGATAATATTTACTTCCAACGAGATGAGTAAATTTTATAATGATGCCTACTAGCGAAAATTGGTCTACAACCTCCAAATCTAATCTTTTCTTTTCTCTCCTAACTTTCTCTTTTATTTTCTCATTATACTTCGAAATTACGGAATGAGAAAATGAATTGAATAAAGTTATATAATGTTTTTAGATATTTAGGATTAAAATAATAATATAATATTACTTAATTATATAATTTAATCAATTATTAATATAAAATTTATATAAATTTTTTGTAACTTTAAAAATTATGGAAAAATATTCATAAATTAATTTATTTTATTTAAAAATTCTAGTGAAATTGGTTCACAAAACGGACACCTAATGGTCCCAAAATCTGCACTTGTACTAATAGTTGTAAATTTCTTAAGGGTTTACACTAGTGACAAAAAATTACAAAAACTTTATTATAATAAAAACATAATAATATTTATCTTATAGCGAACAAAGTTTTCAAATTTCAGTTAAAATAAGTAAATAACTCATAAAAAATTTATTTATTTGGATCAAAATACATACTATTACAATCTCCTCACCTTAAAAAAATTTCGTCTTGTACATTTTCACGGATAAAACAGATCAATAAAGATAAATTCAATATTTAAATTCATCAAAACAAATCAATACGATTCAAAACCAATAAACTAATTAAATCAATTAAAAATCTCCAAAAAAAAATGCATGCAATCAATCACTAGTTCATTCAATACAATCATGCAATCAATTGAACTCATTATAACTCTAAATCGTTGCTCTAAAATTATTGTATCGTTGTATCAGATAAAATCAAACCATAGTAATTAAAAAAAAAAATCTATATGCTCACCATTTTGTACAAGTCAATTAATATTCAATCAATTGGTCAACTAATCTTTACTTGTCTTTCACGCACATTCTAATGAAAGTAATATAGACTAAATTAATATTATCCAATCATATACTAATATTCATTCTCAATGCTTGTATTAATAATTTGCTTAAATAAAATACATACTAAGTAAAAAATGCATAATTTTAAAATATAACTAAATTACCAAGGGTTGCATAAAATATTGTTTCAAGACTTTAATCATATTAAATCACTATTTTTCAAAGTTCGGAATATTTTCTATTCAATTAAAACTGCTCAAATTATGAAATACCTGGTAAAATTTTTTCATAAAATAATTAAAATGTTTGTAATCTTAATCTCAATAATATATAATAAGATGCGCGGTGAAAATTTACCAATATAAAGTTATCTATATTTTTTATAATGGAAATAGAAATTTAATCAGAGAAATCTTAAAACCATCAAATTTTTTTAAATAGAGATAAGCATAATGTGATTTACCTCGATTCAGAAAATTTTCATAGTTGGAGCAATAGATAAAAATGACCCGAAATAGTTCAAATAAAACTCTCTTGAAAAATCGTCTCTCTACTTCGCCTGGTTCGGCATTCAAATGAATCAAAATAATGGATTTTAAAATATAAAAAATTAAGATAATGGACTAGCGCTGCACGTACCGTTACCACCTAGCATCGTGGCGCTAATTCATTTTTCCAAAATACAGAGGCATGAGCATTTTAATGTCATTATTTGTTGTTTGGTACTATAGCAACACTGAGATGCTCGAGCACGTAGTGCTAAGGTGTTAGAACAAATAGCTTCAAAGGGCTCAAATAGTAATATTGTTCCGATTTTGCTAAAATTCGTTCCAGACCCTTAGGACTCATTCTAGAACGCTGACAACCATTTTCAAGCATTAAAAGACTTTTAAATATATGCAAATGAATTCAAAACACAAAATTTTAAATCTTAACCTTTTAAAATTTTAAATCTTTACTTTTTACATTTTTGGATTGTTACACATTGAGAGTAATAATAATAATAACATGTAAACACTAAGACGTTAAGTAAATATAAGCTAATTTGCAACTTAAGCTAAGATAGCCACATCCTTTTATCAATAACAAGGAAAAAATAATCTAATAAACCATCCATGAAAGGATAATCCAAGTCACCAAACCAAGGATCAACATAAATGAAAGGTTGATCGAAAAAAAAAAATATATTTTATTGATGAAGGAGAAGCCAAGAAATGAATATTTCTATTGCCTATTGGATAAGGGGCTCTATTATACCCAAAATTGTTATTAAGCATATTAAGAAAATCTCTTCTAGATTTCTTTTTTGTGGTGACTCTATGGCTGTTAAGAAGTTGATTATGGTATCCTGGGATAAAGTTTGCAGGCCTAAGTATTTTGGTGGTTTGGGATTGCCGTCTATTCCTGCTATTATTTTTGCCTTCAATTGTTCTATCATTAGCAGGTTTTACAACAGCTCTTCCCTCCTATCTAGCTGGTTATCTTTGAGATATCACTCACCTTGGAAGCCTTGCTCGGGCTCTGCTTCTTCTTTCTGGAAATGCTTAAGCAAATCTGCTGAGTTGGCTAGATCTTCTTTTCTTTTTAAGGTCAATGCCTCTTCTAATATTTCCCTATTTTGGGACCATTGGTGTAATAACTCCTCAATTTCTAATTATATTGGTGGCAATGCTTTGTTACAAACTTTTGGCTCTAATGCCAAACTGTCGGCGCTGATTGTTGGTAACCAATGGTCCATCCCACAATATATCCCTGATGCTACTGCTAACATCATTCGTGGCACTACCATTTTACAGTCTACTACTAGCAATATTTTCTGGGAAGACAACACTGTTGGTAAATTTTCCAAATTCCTTTTCAAATACTATCAAGACCTTCCCATATGTTATTGGTATAAGTATATTTGGCATAGTAAGTATGTGCTCAGGTTCTCTACTATGGCTTGGTTATCTTTAGTTGGTGGGCTTAAAACGGCAGATGCTTTAAATTTGAGAAATATTCAGATCAACCAAGTGTGTCCTCTTTGCCATTCACATCCTGAAAGCACCACGCATTTATTTTTTGAATGCAATTACTCGAATGAGGTCCTGCTGACTCTAATTCCGGGCACTTCTGCCCTTTTGCTTAGGCCTAATATTTTGCATATTCTGGAATGGATATCTGATATTCAAAACATATCTAAAGTCACGAAATGCTTCTATTATCTCATCATTTGTTGCTCAATTTACTACATCTGGAAGGAAAGGAATGAGAGAAGATATGCTTTCAGCAACCATTGTGCTATCTCTGTTGTTCATAAAATTAAGCATGTGGTTATTACCAAAATCACCAAATGGAAAAATGTGGAAAATCTGCTGGCTCTCCTTTGAGGCGGGAACGAATGTGTTTGACAAAACCTGATGGGGGTTTTTCACCATGGACGATGATGTTCCCTGTAATCAGGTGCCCCTTGGATGGCTTTCGAGCAACCAGGGGCGGTGGGCTGGAAATCAAAATGACATTCTCTGCATACTGAGTCCTGGTATCCAGTTTAACTGGATTGTTTCTGCTTTGCTGTCTACCTGTTTTCTGGTCTTGGCAGGTTCAATGGCGATATGAAGATCTCATGCCTGTGGATTTTTGACGACTGGTTGCTCTTCCTTCTGGTTGCTGCGACTTCAACGAGTTTTGCTGCCTGCTGTTTGATGTCTTATGTTCAATTCCTTTTTCTATACCTTTGCTAGTTGGAAGTTTTGTTTTTATTTTCCACTAGATTTTGTTTTTTGGCCAATGGTATAGCTTTTTCTGTTTGCTCCTTGGAGCTGCTTTGTAACTGGAGGTTTTCACCTCTTTTTTACCTTCTTTTATATACGGGCTCTGCCCTTAAAATTCCCCAAAAAAAAAAAACAGTAGCTACTTCTCTGCTGGAGCTCTCTTGGTTTCTGATGCTCTCAGCAGAGCTGCTAAGGCTGCAGCAGATCTCAGCGAAAGGGGTGCTAGACATTGAAGCCTTTTATAAATAGTAAGTGTTTATTGAATAATACATGTAGATAATGTGTTAAATGCTGTAGAAGCTTTTGTTATGGACCTTAATAAATGAAGGCATGATTTATAGAAATAGCCCCTGTTAAAGCCACATTTTGCTTCTTAAATTTGTCAAGAAACTATGTTGTTTGGATTTGGTTTTTGTGTTTGTAATTACTGAATTTTAACTTTTATTTTCACCTGCAATTTTTTTGACCATTAAGTGTTTGAGTAGTAATCATTTCAAACATATGTGAACCAGAAAAATGCTATGTGGCCAGGTTTAAGAAAGATGTTCATGTTCAAGAACTATGGCACAGAAAATTAACATTTTAGCTGATGAAATTTTTGATGTTTGGTTTATTGGAAAATGAACTATGCTCTTGCCTTATTTTTTTGTGGGAGAGGCCATGTTATTTGATATGATACATTGTTGTAGGGGTGTAAACGAGACAATTCAAGTCGAGTATCTTACTCTATATGAGCTCAAGCTTGTTTATTGAGCTTTAGCTTGGCTCGCTCGAAATTATAGGCTCGAGGTCATTTTGTTTACTCGAGCTCGTTAAGAAAACTCTAGCTTGACTCATGAAATATTTAGTATATATTTTATTATATTATATTAAAAATTAATTTTAAATATATTTTAATTTAAACAAGTGGCTTGACAAGCTTACGAGTTGAATCTAGTTGAGCTTGAGCTTGTATAATGTGAGTTTGACTATTGGTTCAAGCTTGAACTTGTGATTAGATAAGCTCGACTCGTGAGCTCGTTAATGAGTCGAGTTCAAGTCAGCTCACGAGCCGGTTTGGCTCACTTACACCCCTACCTTGTTATGTTTAATGGATTTGGGCGCGACCTGTTTGTTGCCAAGAGTACTACTGCATAATACAAACTAGCAGTTAACTTCACATGTTTAAACAGCACAAATGATAAAAATGTACTGGGAAAGGAATTATATATCATGGATATATATCTTTTGTTGATGTGTTTGAATCAATTAGAATAGAATTAAGAAGTTCAAGAGAAAAATGCACTATTTTCTTGAGTGTTGAGAGCTTTTGTCATATTTTAATTTTTTTACTAAAAAGTTATTTAAGAAGCAATAAAAAAATCGTCTCAAACAATACCTTAATATCATCATAACAACTCTTTACATAGTTCATGTAGGCATTTTCCCAATCTCCTTTATCTTATAATGGTGCTATAATTTTTGTTGTGTTGGTTTCATTTGAACTGTATATTGGAGAAGGAAAGTCATTCTGAGAAGAATTCTGATTCTTGTAGTAATAATGAATAACAATTAAGTGTGTTTGATGTAGTGTATGAGGTAGAGATCTACATATGAGCAAATAAAAATATTGAGATAATTTAAATGATTGAGGGTGAGTCCATGAAATTAAACCTAGCATTTAATTAATTAGTTAATTCACCAATTAAAATTTAATTTTAAAACTATTTGTTCTCTCTCTCTCTTAATATAAACAACATTTTCTTTATTATCATATTTGAGATTTACTTTTACTTTAAAGTTTATCATTCGATTTATTATTTATGTAATTAATTTTCTTAATTAATATTTTAGAGTAAATCATATTTCTAAATTACAGTAACATAGAGCCTTTGAAATAATATGTATGCTCATCTCTAAATATAAATTAATTTCATTTAAATACATCATGACCATCAATGTTATGAATATATCATATCTTTATATTTTCTATTAAATTATACAACCGTTAGGAGCCACAATCTAAAATTAGTACCAATGAAAGTACTTATTTTTCCCATTTACCTCAGCCTGCGATTTTGCCCGCTCGACTCGCCAGCTTCGTCGTGGTATGCAGTAGGGTCGGTTCAACTGAATCGGCCAAGCCCGATTCTCACAATTAATAATTCATTTATTCTCCATTTGATTCCATGGACAAATAATATTCATTTTGGCGCCAAAGTCCTATATCAACTCTCCTCCTTTCAAGTTTTCTAAGCTTCATAATTAAATTGTTGAAATTGGAACGAAATTTGAAAATGCTAATATAATAAGATTGTGGTTGTAATGACACTATTTATCATTTAGTACTGTAGCAGCGCTAAGATGTTCGGACACACAGTGTTGAGGTGTTCGAACAAGTAGTAGTAAAATTTTACTGATTTTGCTAAAATTCACTCCAGACCCTTAGGACTCATTCTAGAACACAAAATTTTATGCACTAAAAGACTTCCAAATATATGCAAATGAATTAAAAAAACAAAATTTTAAATCTTAACCTTTCAAAATTTTAAATCTTTACTTGTTATGATTTTGAATTGTTACACATTAAGAGTACTAATAATAAAAACATGTAAGCACTAAGATGTTAAGTAAATTGAAGCTAATTTGCAACTTAAGCTAAGATAGCCACATCCTTTTATCAATAACAAGGAAAAAATAATCTAATAAACCATCCATGAAAGGATAGTCCAAGTCACCAAACCAAGGATCAACATAAATGAAAAGGGGATTGAAAAAATAAAGAAATTTATTGATGAAGGAGAAGCCATGAAATGAATATTTTAGTAAATAACAAAGAAAAATACACAAAATACAAGTTTGAAAAACTCATCAAAGTTCTATAACAAAAAATAATGAATCACCAAACAATCTTCAATGCATTCAAATGGATTCTTCATAGGCTCTTAATCAAAAAATATAATGCATAAAGAAGCGATGCACATGCATGGTAGAAAGAGAACAATATTATAAATATCACGATAATTAAAATGATAAATGCTTCGCTTGAGACGGTTTTTTTATTGCTTTAAGAAGCAGTAAGAGAGCTCTCCCAAACTAAGCCAAAGAGTAAGATCATGAAATTAAATGCGGCTCTTATGAAGAATTAATCATGATTTCAAATATATAAAAATTATCACTTGCACAAGGCGACAAATCAACCATTTTTGTTTGGCTACTGTTTTTTCACTGTTTTTAAAAATTTTGGGCTAGAAAGTTATTTTTTTGAGGTATTTGAGCCATTAAATTAAAATAAACTCACACACATCATATAAGCAAGCTTTGAAACCGAGACCTCTTAATTAGTAGCCAAAGCTCCCAACTAAAAGATCATGAAAGCTATTTTTTACGATAATTTTTTTAATTTTTTTTTTACATAACAACTTTATAACTACCTTTATAAAAAAACTACAATTGTCCCAAATAAATCACTAATATCAGTTGAAGTTGATAAAATCCTCATTAGAATATTGTTAAAATAATTTTGAGATGAGGATATGAAAATTTCATGAACCTACATATCTTATTACATAGCAAAAAAATTATGCAATTTTAATTTCAAAGTTGTTTATTCTATTTTATATTGAAATAGTTTTTGGTAAAATAAAAAATTTTTATTGAGCTTATTTAAAAAAAAAAAATTAAGAATTTTAAAATTTTGCAATTTTGATGCATTTATCCTTATCCAAATATATATTCGGTTTATAACAATGCAGAGACCGGCCGGTAACCCGCACTTTATGGTGACCGCTAGTCTGTTGCTTCGCCCAGCTTGAAGCCCAGGGACAATCTGACGGATCTTAACCTACGGTAGCTACGAGCTTCCTCCACGAATGGAACGCCAACTGCAATGGACTATCCGCCGCGCGAAAAATTCCTTCGAAATGCTTTGCAGTTACGAGCTATCAATTCGTTGGAACAGCGCATTATGTATAAAAATGGCATTCTGTGTTCTCTCTGGCGGTGGCCGTCGTTTTCTCTCCGATCCGAATTGACAAAAAGACGAGGAGAATTCAAACCCGATTCCAAAACCTAGGACCTGTTGAGATCGCCGGCGAGGAAGAGATGGGGCCCAGGAAAGGAGGAGGGGTGGCGGCGCAGCCGGAATTTAGCCTGGCTAGGCTTTATTTCTGTTGCATGGTCGCCGGAGGGGTACAGTATGGCTGGGCTCTCCAGCTTTCTCTCCTCACTCCCTATGTCCAGGTTTTTTTCTTTTCTATTCCCCTTAACAATACTAACCTTTTCTATCCAATCAGCCCCTTTAATTCCCATTGTAGTATTTGCTATTGATCCAAATAGCACATTTCAAGACCTTACAGGGACAAAGTTAGGTGAGGATATCTTGATCAAAATTTGGTGGCAATAAGTCTTAAAAGTTTTTATTTATTTTGAGATAATTGTAATATGAAATTTAATTTTTTATCTATATATTTCACTTGTTATGATAAACTAAAGCTTTTATAGTTGATTTTATCAAAGTAACTTCAAAGATTTTGAAATTTATTATGATCAAATTTTAGTTAGGATATTATGATTCAAATTGTCTTAGCCTTCTAGCATTAATGATCTTTGATTTATGTCAAACACACTCGCTGGTTGGAACATTAATATGGGAGTGCTGCACTTATGTCACGACTCAACCCAACCGGAACAAATCCCTTCACGTCGGGCCGCGACAAAAATTTAAAATCCAGGATCTAGCTTTGGAATTTGCTTCAGACTTTCTTCCAAATAGCAAACATACATAAAACACAGAGCTACTATTAACATCCAAATATATAGAACAGATCATCCATATTTTCTTCTTTCATCAAAAGAATCATGTACAATATAGTGTATGGCTACAGACAGAAAGAACAGAACAGAAAAGCCATGACTGTACAAAAATCAAAAGTACAAAATACCTAATCTCAAATCAGACACAGAACGGCTAGTCCAAGACCTCATTCTCTTTTCCAGAACCTGAAAATCACGCAGATAATAAGAATGAGCTAACAACTCAGCAAGACTACACCAGCCAATCAAAATCTCCGGAAACACACAACCAAAATACATCCGAAGAGTAGCCGTACAGAATTCAGATAAGCGTATAAGCAGACAGAATACATATACAGAAGAACTGAATTCATATAGCAGAATATTCAAATCAGAATCATCTTCACATTACAGAACAGACAGAATCGTACAAATCCGTACAAATCATAAGCACATGGTCAAATCGGATAAAATCATATAATACATAATTCACATATAAGATCCCCGGACCCTGACAGAATCTTTACGAATTCTGGCCCCTTATGTCTTCCTTCCCTGACACAAACAGAATCTTTACGAATTCTGGCCCCTTATGTCTCTCTTCCCTGACACAGACATAATCTCAATGGATTCTGGCCCCTTATGCCTCCCTTCCCTGACACAGACAGAATCTCAACGGATTCTGGCCCCTTATGTCTCCCTATGTGCTTAAAGCACCAGAACAGAATAGATATACAGAATTTTCAGAACATAACTTGTTTTCAGATTTCCCGGACCCAGACAACGGAATCACAAAGGATTCCGGCCCCTTATAACTCCCTTCTGATATCGCAACACATCAAAACATTCGAATCATAAAAATCGAATACTTCAGAAAATTCGTCACCGGCATAACGGCAGTATACGGAATTTCCACAAAATTCATAAATTCAGAATTTTACCAAATTATCACAGACAGTATAAAACATCATTGTAAGACTTTCATTATACTGAAGCAACATTTTTCAACATCCAGATAATTCGTAATTCAATTAAAATACCGCAGAATTCAAAATACCTGGTAAAAATCTTCCAGAAAATACTCAAAAGGTGCAAAAACATCATCTCAGAAACATACCAAAAGTTACACGGTAAAAGTTTTACCGGTGCGAAGTTATACCAGTTTTTTCGCTAACGGAAAATGAATTTGAAACAGAAAATCCGTCAAAAATCATATTTCTGAAAATTGAGAAAGGCATAATGTGCCTTACCTCGAGTCGGTCAACTTTACCAACTACGGTGACGAACGAAAACTGGTCGAAGTAGCTTAAAAATCCACTTTTTCTTCCTCTTTCTTCGTTTTTCTCTCTCCTCAGCTTTCTCTCTATTTAGATATTTATTACGCAGGATCGTCCAGGACGATGTCCGATCGTCCCGGGACGACCTTCTCTGGACTCAAAACGTCCAGACGAAAATTAATTCCAATTTTCTTCGTCCCTGGACAATGCTCTCTGTTCGGTTCGTCCCGACGGTTCCAGGTTCGTCCAGACGAACATGCATATTTTCTCTGTTCGTACTGGCAGTTCGTCCGTACTAACCATACAAATTTTTAACATTTCTTCAGTTCGTTCAAACGGTTCGTCCCGTACTAACAGCACAAAATTTTTTATTTTTTTTGTTCAAACATAAATTGAAAATTTAAGGGTTTCACAACTTAAGCCCCCCATTTTTTTTTCTTTGTAATATATATCTAGATCTTCCATATTTATGCCATTAACATCCAACGATTTCCATTATAATAATATCACCCATATCTCAAGCATCATAACAAAACTAGACGTTGTATCTTTAATTTGGTTGTCGTAGGCAAAAATACATGAATTTATTAGTTCATTTTCTTGGACGATTGCTAGATATGAGTGGCATGCCATGGGTTCGAAAGACAGTATATGTCACCAATATAGGACTCGATGAATGAATTGACCTCAAATGAAACAAGTTTCAGAAGTTAAGATCTGTTAAGCATGTTTTGTATTAATAATAAATAGTTCATATATTAGTAACTAATTATAAACAGTAAGAGTAAGAATTTTTTTTTACATCATTAGTTTATAACAATAGTACTAAAAAGAAGCAAAAACAAAAGAGAATCTATTTAAATAAAGACAAATCTAACTCAACCAAAATACTTATAGATTTACAATATAAACTTAAGTACCGAATGCAATAAAATTATTAAAAAGTTTGCTACAGCAATGATGATCCATCAAATAACATGATAGAACTTGTTATAAGAAAGTTTTAATATGGTTCCAAAAAAAATCATATGAACTACACGAATCTCGAGACAATATTTGAATTAAAATTTTTTGAAATTAAAATCATGATCATCTGAACTCTAAATTTGACATGGTTGTAGTAGAATCGAGCAACTCGATGAGGTGAATCCAACGAGCCTAAGATCGCTCAATTCCGACATTGTTAAGGCACTTAATTGCTGGAAAAAAATATACTAATCAACCAATAAGGGTTCTAAGAGTTTTCTCTCACAAACTTCAAACTAACATAAAAGAGATATGCACTTCTTTACATAAAAAGCCTTGTATGGTGCCATTTCAATAGTAATTTAGAAATTATTGTTGTAGCTATTGCGGGCGAGAATATAAGCGGCAGTAGAGTAAGAGAATAAAACGTCTTAGCGATGTACATATATTTGGAACACCAACAAATATGTGTGAGGGAGAAAAAACACCATAAGTTTTTACATGAAAATCCCAAAAAGAAAAAAACCACGGTACCTGGCCCAGATGAGAAATTTCCACTAAGTTTGAATGAATTACAAACCGTGATTCACTCCTTTACTTGGAAACGATGGAATTATAATAGATTGGAGAATCGAGCAGATGTTTGGCGATGTTCGACGAAAAAGAGGAAGTCTGGCGGTGGTTGGAAGAACTAAAGCGGTGGTTGACGAATGGGCGAAAGTCTGGCGGTGGTCAACAAACAGAAGGAAGTCCGGCAGTGATTGGGAAGAACTCCTACGGTGGTCGACGAATGGGTGGAAGTCTGGCGGTGTTCGACGAATAGACGGAAGTCCGACGATGGTCGGGAAGAACTCCGACAGTGGTCGACGAATGGGTGGAAGTTCGGTGGTGGTCGGGAAGAACTCTGGTTGTGATTGTTGGGAAGTAATCTCCTAAATTCCTCTCTTCTCTTTCTCCTTTTCTCCATCTTCTCCTCATGTAAAGAATGTGGGGCTATTTATAATTTTTTTAGTGGCATGACTTGTAAATATGGGGAGGATCAATGTCAAGTTGAAAGTGTTAGAATAAATGGCTGATATTAACTTCTTCAATCATAAACCATTGATCGAGCATTAAGTGCCTTAATGTTGTCCATATATATACACGGCCTCAATAAAATTAAGTATATTAATTAGATCAAATAAGTATATGTAATTTTTAATTACATATAAACATTACGACCTACTGCTAATTAGATTGTATATAAGATTGGTGTTTCTGTTGATTCAGGTGATATTAACAAAAATAAATATCAACTTGATTTATAAATATATATCAGTTTATATATATTATATATAATATGTATTTCATATTGGGCTTTGGAATCCAAAATATTATATGTCATAATGACATAGGATATAATATAAAATAAGATTATATATATTTTGTGTTATTATTAGTAAATTGAATATTATAACTTCTATGATAACATAATGATGTTTAAATTAATATTAATTAAACGTAACTTAATAATTAGACATAACTTAATAACCAATTTATTAGCAATAAGTAATCTTATATTAATGATAATACACCCCGCATCTCTACCATATATTAATATTAATTAAGTTATTATTATTGTAGTATATTTTTTACTTTTTAAATTTTTAAAAAATATAAAAAAAATTCATAAAATTCTGGAATGACCTTTTGAATTCTTATATTTATTTATTTATTAAATGAAAATAATTGATTTTTGTCTATTAAATTCAAAAAATTATATTTAAATTTTTTAAAAAATCATAGAAATTTTTAGAGAGATTTTTTATCTCCCCCCTATTTTTTACTTTTTAAATTTTTAAAAAATATAAAAAAAATTCATAAAATTCTGGAATGACCTTTTGAATTCTTATATTTATTTATTTATTAAATGAAAATAATTGATTTTTGTCTATTAAATTCAAAAAATTATATTTAAATTTTTTAAAAAATCATAGAAATTTTTAGAGAGATTTTTTATCTCCCCCCTCCTTACAACTATAAATACCCCCCCTTAGGGTAGGAGAAAAAACACAATCTCTTGTGACAATTCAAACCTTTCTTTTGAATAGGTAGCTCGGAGGGCGTTGATAGCGATCAAAGCATTGCCCTCTTGTGCTGGTTCTTCCTTGGTTTGGTAGCTCGGAGGACTTTAAAGGTGATCAAAGCATTGTCCTCTTGTGCCGA